GTCTCATAATTATCATATACTAAATCACCTTGCCTACAGTGATTTACTTGCATATATATATATATATATATATATATATATATATATATATATATATATATATATATATATATATATATATATATATATATAATGTTCAGCGTAGCCGCTCGGACAGTTTAGTTTACACCAAAGGATATTGGCGTCAAAAGTGCCGTGCATTTTGTGTATTTATCTGAAACATGGTAAAGCTAGGATTCCATTCATGCGGTAGCGGTATTACCAAAAATAGATCATATTGAAATGTACACGGTTGTTTCCATTGGAGCGGTAGCGTTAGTGTTGTGCGTTTGCAGTACATTTCAATCGGTCCCTGTGGTGATTGAAAACGCAACTGCGTGGAAATGGACGAAGGAATTCCACACTGTGACGTCACTAGTTCCTGTTTCGTATACTTGCTCTCCTCACCCAGCAAGGTATTCTCAGATTTTTTCTTCACCCAAGCTTAGCTCTTTTACCAAAGTATTGTAATCTCCAAATTTGGACCGATTCAGCAGTAGTTTGTGCATCCACCATCTATATTTCCTTGACCGTTTTCCCTTTGTATCACGCAAGATCTTACACAAACTCAAGATTATTAATAGCGTCGTATCTTCGATATACTGGGCGCCATTTTTCCTGCTTTGCTATCGCTAAGACAGAATATGCAACTGCAAATGGAAACAGGGGTGTCCGTTTTCCAAGGCAATTTAACGCAAACGCACTGCAAACGCATATATGGAATCCTAGCCTAAGAATTTATCAGTACAAGGGTACCGCTAAAAATATCATTGTTCTCGATCTACTGGGAAACATGGAACTTGTCAAGAATAATTGATGGAACTAGTCAGGTATAATTGCTGGAACTTCATAGGATTAATTGATGGAATTTTGTCAAGAATGATCGATGGAACTTCATTAGGAGTAATTGATGGAACCTAGTCAAGATTATTGATGGAACTCTGTCAAGAATAATTGAGGAACTTCTTAAAGAATAACTAATGGAACTGTCAAGGATAATTGGTGGAACCTTATCAAGTTCATAGCCAACAGCTTTAACTTACGAGTAGATAACGACACCTCGATTAGCTGATTAATATAGAACGTGTGATAGAATTAAAAAAATTTTTGGCGACGATAAACAAAAATTATCTGGTAATATTGTATAATTTTTAATGTCTCACAAAGCGTATATTACGCCGTGTTAGTGAACAAATCGCGCTAGCTGACGGCCCAGGGCTGTGGAGTCGGAGTCGGAGTCGGAGTCGAGGAGTCGGAGGAAATTTCGGCTTGTGGAGTCGGAGTCGGAGTCGGTAAAATTGTCCAGACTCCGACTCCAGCTGAATCTTGATTGCACTGAATTGCCATTTTCTTCACGAGCTTAGTAATAGTATTAGTATCTGAGTATTTCCCTCCATTATTTAATTATATTAAATCCCTTCAGCCCACTATAAGAGGGTTGATAGAAAAAAAATAAAAACTTCTGGTTTTATTTAGTCAACTGCAGGAACAGTTGCCATCCTGCGTGTAGAAATAGTTGTTACAAATAGGCCAAGGAGTCGGAGTCGGAGTCGGATTCGGAAGCATAAAAATTTGAGGAGTCGGAGTCGAAGGTTTTGTCTTCGACTCCACAGCCCTGGCTGACGCACAAATACTGTAGTATTATCCCTATTCATATACAGTAAAGTATATATTAATAATTTATTACACAACGAATTTAGCACTATAAATACCGCTATTTACTTTAGGCTTTATCTAAACGAGTACATAATTTTTGTTAAATTTAATTTTGATTCAAATTAAAATAGATTGTACATCCAAATGATATTTTTTCCGCGTCTCTGGTTAACCAATCAGGTGCCGTCGTCCCATTAGTGCATACAGAGTACTGTACTTTTTGGGAACATGTTCAGTTGATATTAACTTGATTGATGAAACTTTATTGGGAATAACTATTGACACTGAATTTGGACGTGAGTGATTAACCTTTTTCAAAATAAAATAACCAAGCTTAGACGTAATTATTGGGACTATGGTACTCGTTATTAGTTTATGCAGGTAAGGAAGTGTCTCTTTTTGTCGAATAATTTGAAGAAAAATACTACGGGTTTTGTAAGGAAGGAAAGATGTGTAGATCCCACAGTCTAGCGGAAGATTTATGTACTGTAAGTAATTTTTCCTGCAGTGAGTCGATGACGAGTATTGTAGTGCTGAGTGGATGGATAAACCGCCCGGTATGGTGGGGGTGACGGGGGTCAACTTCACTAGAGGACTGACCATCACTGAGGGTATTAGACAGTGAGCGACGGTCATAGATGGGTGGAGGACAGGGAGTCAGGGCCACTGTTGAAGAGTGTAGCATTTATCCTAGGTATTCTAACAGTCGAGGAGGATTGTGTAACACCTCTAGTCATAAGAGTAATATTCCCACTGAAGACACGGCTTTTGTAAAGGCTGTGTCATAAGAAAGAAGAAATATAGTAGCGATTAGTAGGGGGGGGGGGGACATATATACGAGAGGTTACACACTTTTAATGCATTTTTTGGTAGATTCATGTGTTAAATTCAAGGAACTCTTTTAAGCTGCCTGGGAAGGTTGACTTGGGACGAGGAATCACTGTTGTTAAAGAAGAGTGGTCTTGCTGTCCTGAAACAATTAGTACATGGTTTCTAGAAGACTGTTATATCGATGTTATTGTTTCCTCGGCGTATGACGACAGTGTTTAGTACTGTTTATGACTCTTACGAGAGTTGAGAGTGCACGTGAGGTTCAGGCGGAGTGTAGGGAGGCAGAGGAGGTATTAATGACCAATGCACGAGGACAGGTGGTTGGTTGTGTGGACTTTTACACAATCTATTAGATTTTGTGTGACTGGATATTGTAGAGTGATTTTTAAGGTCTTATTAATATTATTTGTACCGATTTGCCCTTGTATTTCGTGGATAGAAACTGTATAAAGGTACACTACGTGTATTTAGTTTTGAACATGAAGAGGTGTGAGACAAGGTCATCTGATAGATCCTCATTTGATTAGACTTTGAAAGTGATGAGGTCATGTTATCCACGTGTTTATATTTATGTGTAATTATGAATGTGTGACACACCTGTAGTGGTTTACGTACATGATTGAGTATGTTAGTATTATGTGTGCATCTGTTCTTGTATTTATATTTGTGGTGTCGTGTGTGTGGTTTTGTGCAGCCCTCGGTGAAGGAGCTTAACGCATCACTGCTCTTTAGGTTATCCTGATCATTGTGTTCTCTAAGTTATCTTTTCTCATCATAGTGGCTATAATTTTTTTCTTCATTACTACTCCTTCATTAGTCTTTATTTTTTTCAGGGTACAACAATCATTGACGTAAGCCTTTTTTAATATCATTTAGGTTAAATTACCCCCATTTTTTTCTTTTATAAGTTTTATGTTCAGAGAAAAAAAATGGTCATACCTGATTGGCTTAATTCTCGCCTTACGCCCTGCAGCGTTGGAGTCCTATAAAGACTTGTTGAAAAAACAAAAGGAAAAAAAACATTCTCGGTTAGTTCGCCATCGCAAAGTATTTAAGCAGTCAAGTGCTGAACAATATCAATGACGTCAGGTTTTTCCAGGACTGACTTTGTTTTTAAGGCCATAAAAGCCTATTGTTAGTATAATAAAATCAGGCAATATCACATACACGCGAACTACACTGGCACTGCACCTACAGCACAGGCAGTTAGGGAATGTCTTTTTGTTTTATGAAGCGTGTCCTCCACTTCTTAAATCAATAGCTCTGATTGGCTAGATTCTTTTTAAGCTTCGTTATTGGCTAGGAGCAGTCAGCCATATCTTTTAACACAGCGGCCGCTCTCTATACTGTTAATTATCGAATTTTTTATCATTGGGCGTTTTTTTTATAGTTCCTTGTTAGCTTATGTTTCCTGTTATTTGATGTTAGTCACATTTGTCACACTAATATTCAGTGGGTTTTTTATACATATTCTGTATATTTACTTAATTATCATTGATTTATGTATCAAATTGAAACTTCTTATTTCATGTACAAAAATTGTTAGTCAGAAGTGAATTTTGTTTCGAAACTTTATATGTAATTGAGGAAAATAAGTCGATTAATACTGTACACAGGAAACATATAAACTGAGTCCAATTTCACCCATTTTTAGTTTAAGAAAATCTCTTTACTGTAGTTGTGTGAAGGGCGTTGGGGGTTCTTACTACAGCCCCCCCCCCCCTTCTACGGCGCTCATCCACCTTCTTCCTCCCCCACTGACGGACTAGTGTTTCATGTCCTCGTGGTGTCATATTTGTACTGGCTCCTGTTAAGTCCAGTTTACTCGTTTTTCGAATTGTGTCTCGGAAAAATGTATACACATTACCGTACAGATTTTCGTGCAGATCGCATGAATGGTTGTATTGCAACAGCAACATTGTCCTCACATGTTGTAGGAGTGGGAGGCCTCCCACAGGCGAGGGCAATGTTGCCTTTTTAGTACAGACATTCAAGCGATCTCCAAGAAAATATATAAGGCAGTGTGTATATATGTTTTAGTCATACTGTATATTCAATAATTTCACTTTTATTTTAGTTATATTTCCGTTCTTTTGATTTTTTCGAGCCAGAATCATATCTTAAAAGATTTTTACTTTATTTTATTGAGTTAAAATTTATTGTAGATAACGAAAGACTCGGGTGTGTTGGTATATGACTTATTGTTGGTCATCCTGTTTTGCGTCCAGGTGTCATGGCGCGCCATACATTACCTTTAGCTGCTGTGTTCTCTCTTCACACCCACTGTCACCACCTTTTGTGCAAGCAACACAGATAACTTGTAGACAACGTGTTAACTTTTATTTCTATCGCATAGTATTAGTATTTGTTACCATTCCTGAATACCAGAGTTTTTATTTTAACTGGAGCTTTCATCACACACGTCGTAAACAACATGGGGAATATGAAGGGGAAGGAAATACATGCATAGCAGTAATTGATTTAATATTTGATATGACATTGTACCTGAACACAAGGCAAACCCTACATGACCACAGACTACACATATAAAGCCACTGCCCCGGGACACGGAGAACACTGGAAGGAACATATTAGTCCCTGTACACGAAAATTGAAATGTGCTCATGGCTACTATTATACATTTTTCTAAGTGAATCTCTCATCCTCGACTACAAGTAACCAAATTGATGCCAGTGCTTTGGGTAAGTGGCCAGGGTTACGGCCAGTCTACTCACACTGCGTGGCCAGGGTCCCACTCGCTAAGGAAGATACTGACACTTGGTGGCTAGCCACCTACCTCAGTCGCTGGTGGCATACTCTCAGTGTTACATGTGAAGATGGTAGTTATGATTTCATCTTTTGTTATCCCATTCATTGTTTTACTTGAAAATTAAGTCTTTAATTTTACTCGTCGTGTTTGCGACTATATTATCGCTGTGTTAATAATAGCCTTCATTTGAAAATGTGGCTTTTGGATAAATGCAAAGAGAACAGTTTATTAGAGAGTGTGAGGTGGCTATAGGATTTGGGATACAAGCGTTCTGGTAAGAGTGTTGTGGCAGACACGCCCACAAGATATGTTATGAGGGCCCCGTCTCTCACTCGTTTTATCCCTGAGTACAAAGTTACGAAAAGGAACGTCTTCATAATATCTAGCATTAAAAAAAATTAACTGGGCGCTGTTGACAATTTTTATACAGTATCATTATTATTACAGTATTATTAATTGCAGTAACACTTAAAGGTATCTTTAAGTGTTACTGACCCAATATTATACAGATAATATATAATTTTTAAAATATAATATTAATATGACTCTATGGGTGTTACGCTTACATGTACATAGCTGGAGTCCATCACACGCAAGTACAGTACACCATCAAGAGCTGTGTTCCGTCTCTGAAGACGTCAGCGGTGTCAAGTGGATATATCTAGACTCTTCAAAGTTACATCTACAGTGGACAGCATCAAGAGACAGACAGCCTTACAAGATCCATTATAATCATCCTTCTTAACTTAATATATGGTGGAGAAGGGGACCTAATGGATTTCTGGAACAAATTATCACTGCACAATTTAAACTTAAATCACTACAAACTAATACCCGCATAAGTCCAAACTAATACTGTGACAAAATGTTCAATAGAATCAGACTAAATATTAGTTACTGAATTTAACTTTTCTGAATTAAAATTTTTAAGTTTAAAGATAAAATTTACTTAAATGATCCATTTCACAAATGAAATTCTGTAACGATCATTTCTGATTGAAGTTATCACATGAAATATGAATTTACACTGAATAAACTCTCATATATACAGTACAAGTTCTACAGCTGACTAGAGCCTACGTGTTACTGCAGTTCAGTGAACCACGACCATTAGCCTATAAGCACCCATGAGAGGGAACTGGGTTGAGTTGGTGTGCCACCTGCACCAGGGTAGCACACATGCAGCAGTAGCAGCTGGTTATCCGGGCTCTAGCAGTGCTCACTGACTTATGAGCCCAGCACCAGCCAGCGAGATCAACGATTCTTCATTGAGATCACATCTCACATCATGAGTGAGATTATTAAATTTAAGTGTTAGGTGTGTATGCGGGAGCATTGCAGCTCACGAGTGTGAAGAACGAGCAATGTGGAGGAAAAAGGCCACTTTATCTGTGGCCTGATGACCGCACATGTTGCAGGTGAAAGGGTTGCGATAACCATGGTAGCCCATGTGCATAGTGTACATAACAACATCCTTGAAAGCCATGTCACAAAACTGACACTGATGGGCACTCTGCCAGGCTTCCTGACCCTCAGGCGGGTCATCAAGCTGCTCCATGGGCATGAGTGGTGGCATACGGTTCTCAGATGCCTTGGGTTGGCTCTCATCATCCTCACGTCGCATGTCTTCATCGTGACCGCTGCTCTCACCCTCAGCACTTTCACTCAGACGTAGGGCAATACGCTCCAACTTGAAAGCACGACCCTTTCGACGATTTTTTGAGGGTGGCGTTGATGTCTCGGAGCGAGGCGGTGATGATGACTGAGGAGATGAATGGTTTGGAGAAAGAGATGCTCGAGACTCTGTCCTTTGTTGGATTGGCGGTGGTTCTTTGCTGGTGTCTCTTATTGGTTGAGGTGGCGTGTGTTCTGTGGCCATGGCAAGCTGCTGAAGCGGTGTTTGTTCCTTACTTAAGTCCAGGACACCATCAGTGTTGGGCAAGAGAGTCTGGTGAAGGGAAATTTGAGGCGAGGGCTGACGGTGGTCTTCCTCTGGTTGGATGGGTCGTGGTCCCTGCAGTACTGGGTGAGTAAAGCGCTGCAGGTGTTGCTGCAAGCCAAATGCTGGGTGAATCTGTCCACTCATCATACGTTGGTAAAAGAAGGGGTTCATGGCACAGGTCAGATATTCTTTCAGATTATGAGCTGCTGCTAATGGTGAGTACAGTGGACCTGTCTCATTGGGTGTGAGTGGTGGTGGTTGATGTTGAAAGATGGGAGGGCGCACTGGAGAGATGGAACGATGCTCTGGAGTACTTGAACGTTCAATGGGTTGTGGAGAACGAGGTGTGTCATCACTGTCTTCTCGACGTTCAGCAGTTGCATGAATAATCATCATATGCTGAGAAAACATATCTCGACGATCTGTGACAAAATCACAGAGAGAGCACCGTAAGACATCCTTTGGTGACAAGGGATTTATATGTGCAGTGCGTTCTCTCTCACGTAAGAGTTCTCGCAGTTGTTCCCGAGGTTCTTCCGAGGATTTCAGAGCGCGAGACAGGATGGGCGAAGAGTTTTGGAAGTTTTCCATCATACCTGGGTAAGGTATTGGGAATGGTGAGTGAGGAGGCCCGGTCTGTGATGTTGGCGGGAGAGGTGTTGGTTGCCTCGGGTTCGGGGGTTGTGGGCTGTCAAGGGGCGAGGAGGGTGACGGAGCAATCTTTCCAGATGCATGCATCTGTGCCTTTAGGATTTGAGCTTGAATTTGATAATGAGGCGGGAGAATTGGCATTCCTTTGTCATCTTTCTTCAGTTTTGGTCCCCTCCGTGTTCCATACACATCAATAATAGGAATCGGGTTGGGAGTTCCATCTGGGTTAAGCACCATGGCAGGGTTGTGGCCATACTTGCGTAGGTGAAGTTTAAGGGAATGACAGTACTTAGTGGCATAGGTACAGTCTGAACACCGATACTGATATATATTACTATGAGATTTCATGTGCGAGTTCAGCATTGATTTGTTTACACAAGAGTAATTGCACTTATTACATTTGAAAGGTTTTGATCCAAAATGGTTCCTTAGGTGATATTCCAAGTGATGTTTATATTCTGTCACAAAAGGACATTTTGGACAGGTAAGAAGTTTCTCGCTCTTTATGTGCGAGCGTGCATGCTCCCAGAAGTCACTTTTGGTTATAGCCACATACTCACACTGTTTGCACTTGAAAGTTTTCACTTTGCCCTGTGCGTTCACCCGAGGCACACGTATACTCTCCAGATCCTCGTTGGCGTCCAGGCTGATTCCGTGAGCGTCCAGCATGTGGTCTCTCAGCTTGGCCTCGGCGTGGGTTGTGAACTCACACTTCATACACTTGTGATCATAGTGAGTGTTTAGGTGAGTGTTGAAATGAAAGCGAGAAGTTCCAGAGTATGAACAGATGTGGCACTGGAACACCTGAGGCTTATCTCCTGAGTCGCCGTCTTTATCTGACATGACACCGGACAGTTGCATAGCGTGTTGTAGGCGGGAGAGATGGTCCATGTCACCTTCGTTAGGGTTCATGGAGGAGTCCATAGTGTCCTCACCATCGGGTTCTACACTGGATGGCATGTGTTCCTCACTACCATGATAATTCTCATCAAAAGGAGACATTCTTTCTATGCTATCATTGTTTTTGAAAGATGGATCATATGCACGGAAAGACTGCTGCTGCTCTTCGGTGGACTGAGTTCTCGCAGAGTCTGTGGGCAGGTCTGGTGATTCTCCAGCCTTCTCAATTGGTGATCTCGTTGATTCAGCTTGATGTTCGGGTCTCGCAAAGCGTAGCACTGTATCGGACTCGTTGTGAGCGTGGTCCTTCTCACGCTCCGGAGCCTCTGCCTGCTGTTCATCTATCTGCTGAGGCTCTTCCTTGATGGTCACCTCCTGAGACTGGCCTGGTTTTGGAGACTGGTCAGCCGAGGTGTAACTGCTTTCTCCAGATGATTGGTGAGACTGAGGAAAGAGGTGAGTACTGTCATGCATTTGGATGTCGTTGGCATCATTTTCTTGCTCACTGGAGGTGTTAATGGGCTCCTCTTTAAGTGTACAAGTCTCCTGAGATTGAGGATAAGCTTGTCTTAATTGTTCCTCACGGTGTGAATACAGTTGACTGACCTCGTGCATCCTCGCCCGTTGCTCGTACAAGCGGCGGAGGTCTTGCTGCATTTGCACGGTGCCGTAGTGGCGTTCGTTGTGGACATGTGCCGTGTCCATAGGCATTTGGTGGTCCCTGGTGTGTGTACGGTCCATCTCCATGGCTGCACGCATTGTAGCCTCGTAGCCGGCCAGCGGCGGGATAAGAGAGACACGCCCCTCGTAGCTGATGCCCGCGGAGCCGTGCCGTTCTGTGGGCTTGGCAGCGGTGGTCATGGGCGAGGCGGTGGGCATGGGATTAGCAGCGAGCGACTGAGGTGGAACAGCCTCACACTCAGCAGACATGGTGGGGGAGCGGGCGGGGAAGTGGTCAGCGATGGGTGACTGCTGCAGCATGAGGCGGGACGGCAGGCGCTCCTCACTCCTGTAACACGTAAAAATACTGTCACTACTTCGTCCTCCACACTTTATAACATCTTAAAACTTAATGATATACATAAAGTTACGGATCATGTTAAGGTTAAGCACCCGAGCTTATTTCACTTAAGAATAACCACCCTAACGCCAACCTCCGAATAACATTAGGGTGTTTAATCATCAGGGAAAATAAGCTAGGGTGCCGAATTTTTACCAGATCTAAAGTTATTACTTGAAATCTAACTTAGAAATGTTCATAAAACTATATCTTGAAATTTATATTAAAATCTTACTTAATACTACATCAGAATGACAATATATTAATGTACCGTCAGAATAGTTATTATATTATCATCCTGTCTTAGTCAGCGTCAAGTAGATTTTGAATTAAGACAGTTACAATATTTCCAGGGTGGTTCAGAGAAGGGATCCTTGTTACCCGAGAGAACAGTACTATTTGACCACTGCATTTGTTTGCCACTCGCGGTAACAAGAGATCCTCCTAAACGGACCAGGAGACGATCTGTTGTACAGTATATTACGCGTATAACGCTTTAATTTATTTCAGCATTGCAATAAAGTTCAATATTTTAAGATAACTTGCATTAGATAATTATGTCGGGAGGTGGTGATGAGCAGCGAGGGTAAGCCTGGACCAGCACGCTCGCCTGGACACAACACGTAAACAAGCCCTCACTGCCCCGACGTCCCGTGAAAGTGTTACTAAAAGCGACGTAAACCTTATTGTGTGCGAGCCTCCAGCCGTCATTATTTGTGTTGTGGACGTTACTATTTGGGGTCCAGGTGTTCCTGTCACCCCCCCTCCCTCGCTCACCATAATAACATCTTCCTGTTGGTGACTCACTTGACCCGCCACCACACTAGTATCGCACGGTGTAATATGGTGAGTATTTCTAGTTTAAGTTTTGAGGGATTGGTGACTTGTAGTTAGCGACAAGATGAGATGATGTGGGGTATCAATGTCACCCCCCCACCCCCCATCCCCGGACGTTTTCTTTAGCGGCGTGACGGGAGGAGTGTGGTGACGGTAAGCTGTTTGTGTCATTGGTCATCACATCTCAACCGTAACACCACTCTTAGCACAACGTTTGACAGTAACATATTCATTATATTATCTCTTTGAAAAGTAACACCTTAGGTATACAGTTGAATATTTCAACAAGAACTACATGCTATTTCTTGATGTTAAAAATTCATATATTTAAGTCGGGATTGAAACATTTGTATAGTATAACGTAACAGTCTGATAAGGTTATCAACAAGACACGTCATGCATTCATACTAATTCGCCATCTCAACGATTATAAGGAAGTACATCAAGCAGAGCGTGGTCGACCTATGGAATCAACTGAAGATTCGCCCCAGCTTAATTACCTTAACACCACCTGGAGGCTTAACTTAGCGTTTGGGTGGTTAATCTTCAGGTGAAATAAGATGTGGAGGGGGGTCAATCTTCAAGTGACCCGACGCGACCTTAGGAACAGTGTAACCTTTCAACAGAAGCCGTGTAAACAAGAACCGCGCTGGGCTTTAAAATAACCCTGGACAAGATTATCAGGAAACATGGCGGGGATCCTTAACAAGTCAACGGCTTCCTCCCTGACGTGAACACTTGTAGTGGCGGTGGCTTGCATGCTAACGGGTAGACTTACTGTCCAATGTTTTATACCAAAGTCCAGTCATTGAAATGTACAGTAAATTAACTAATAAGATTTATTGAATTAAAAAAAATACGTTATGTCGGAATGTATATATGATCTCACCATTGTAAGAGAGTTATTTAAGAGAATATTTCACTAAACTAACTCCTCTCTGAAGCACAGCCAACAGCGTGTATGTTTCCCTGGGTGGTGGAGAGGGGTCAGCCGTTGTGGTACTCCCCAGCACGTGTCTCCATCGCCAACAAACATAGATACATCCAGGACAGGGTGACAGGGGGATGGGGGTGAGGGGCGGGGGTACAAAGCTGTTAAAATAGTGACGGGTCGCGTACACAGCATCAGAGGCCGGAGCGGTCAAGCGGAAAAATACCGCGCGCCGCCCCGACGTCACGTGACCTGTGGCTCCCCTCCCTCCCTCCACCTCTTCCCCTATCCCACACTTACATTCCCTCCTGCTGGTAGTGGCTACTGGTTCAGGTCTGTATGTGCTTCTGTCCACACACACACACACACGCACACACACACGCGCACACACACACACGCGCGCACAGATAACGCCAGCACATGTATGCATACACACGCATTTGCATACAGCCACACACGCTATGAACTGTTTATTGATATCAAACTAATCTAAAAAGCCATATACAGTGTACCTACGTATTATGATAATCGACCCTTCTGTGACCTGGTGTGGGTGTGTGTGTGTTCTCCCGTGTGACCTGGTGTGGGTGTGTGTGTGTTCTCCCGTGTGACCTGGTGTGTGTGTGTGTGTTCTCCCGTGTGACCTGGTGTGTCCCTTCCCGGGTTCCTTGACAAAACCCCAACAGGGTTGTTATTTGTCAACACTAACCTAACCTAAACATAAAAGTGTTTTATTTTATATTTTATATATGAGACGGGTTGGGGTTTTATCCGGTCACCCCCTTCCCGTGTGACCTGGTGTGTGTGTCCCTTCCCGTGTGATCTGGTGTAAAATAATAATATTAAACGGTTTATTAATAGAGTTGCAGCCGGTGGCTGTAAATACACGAACTTACTGTAGATGTGATTTAGATATAATGGTATGCTGTACAGTACATAAATCAGGTGTGTGTGTCCCCTCCCGTGTGACCTGGTGTGTGTGTGTGTGTGTGTGTGTCGCCTCCCGTGTGACCATTCTGGAGGCTCAGGAAAATATTTGTATCAACCAATCTTAACTGAAGACGACCGATCAGATTAACTCGTTCTATCATAACCTCTACATTACTAAGTCAACTGAGCCAATCACAACTTGAACTTAATCAAATCAACACTTATACATAATTAATCCAACTCGGATGATTATAACCTGAACATAATTATCAAGTATAGATGTTGTTTTACAGACTTAATTGATTATTAATAAAAAAAAAAGAAAATCAACGATAAGAAAATTCATATGAACACACGAACAATAAATGCGCACGAGAGTAAATAAAAGCATCACCTGAAGAATCTCCTCCCCAGCTTATTTCACCTGAAGATTAACCACCCTAACACTATATGAGGGATGAGGTTAGGTTAAGTAGCGTTAGGGAGGTTTAATCTTGAAGTGAAACAGGTTGGGGGTGGAGATTCTTCAGGTAGTCTCAGTAGAGTTCTCTTCTATCAGTCAACCCAGATTTAGCTATAAAAGTTAAGTATAATAAAACACGTATTAATTGGATCAGGTGTATGTGATAGTGGTAAAGATCTACCTGTGGACGTTGACTCTCACCACCACGAGCCCGACATTCCTCACATGACTGGCCAGCGGTAACATTTCTCACAAAATACACTGAAGTGACTCGTACTGTCGTAGCAAAGGTCACACACACACACACACACAGCCCACTTAGCAACTCCTCTTAAGGTTTTTATTGAGGCGAACTTCTTACACCCGAGATATTTCCCTATTGATTGAGGTGTCGTGTTGATGCTGGTAAAACTAGTTGAAACTCACCAACCAAGACACTTCAAGGTTTATACTCAAGGACCTAATCTGTTTTCATAATTCGTTCGGAAGATTATTTATATCATATCAAGTTTATCTCTGTAAGTTTTGGTGTTCAATAAGATGACTATTTAACGGATGGGAGAGGGAACGAGTTGTACACTGTAAAAGGCGGTAGGTTGGGACGAGGAGTGTGGGGGCCGTAGACTACTTTACAACGTATTATATCGCTCATTGGCTTCCACGCCGCTACCGACATTCATCGCTCGAGTATTAAAAAATAGGTTGACTGTGTTGTGTTCTAGCCATGTCCTCGGATCTGGCTCCTATGTACTAATAATATGTCAGGACTGGATTATTGGTACACGTGTATGCATATAAACTGGCAACGATCGGATCAAAATTGACTTTAAACATTACGTACAGAAAATTAAACATTGGTTTTCTTCCTACAGTTTATGATAAATACAGAACTAACTAATGTACAGTACACCGGACATGAAAACAATTTAACATGACGCAGTGCAAACGTGATAATGTTAATAATATTCAGGAAAAAAAATATATGGGTTAACGTGGACATAGATTGGTTGAGTGTATGAGTCAGCGGGAGAGTCATCTCAGGTCAGTTTACTCTGGAGTAACAAGAAGTTCACCATTGTTTATCTCGGCCTTTAGTGGTAAAGTCAGCTCTGAGAATGCTGACAGTGCATTTATTAATACCAGTGTAAAGGACAACCAACTCTCCTGATATAAAGAGTAACTTAAAATCCGTTAATGATCCTAAAATGGATAAATAAATGTAGAGTACAGAGTGAGTAGCCAGGATAGTTTTGTGTAAGGCAGGGGGCGGAGTGCTGGTCCACTGTGCAGGCTCACTCTCCTGGACCGCAGGAATCACACAACTTTAAAACTCTGAATATAAAATCTAAGATCACTTAACTGCAAATAGTCTAATATATACCTTAAGCCTGATAAACTCTCATCGATTTATACAAAAAAAAATGTGAAAACTCTCCGTCGTTGTCGAGGAGCCTCGCATACAAAGATTTGAAAAGAATAAACTTGTTTAGCAAAAAAAAAGAAAGCTTGAACACAAAGCACAGACAGGCAGCTTCACACACCGTCGCCACACACCACCACTTGCTTTGTTTCTACATTTTACAACAACAACGTACTTTTTTCTCTCTCGAGAGAGAGTTCACTGTTAAACAAAATCCATCGAAATGAGGAGGTCCAGCCCCCACGGCGCGGCCTGGGAGACTAGCGGTGCTTGTTACCTGCGCTTACCTCACCTGTTGTAACTACCCCCCCCACCACACCCACCCCCCAACCCCAAGCACTCACCCCTTCCCACCCCCACCCCCTCCA